TTCTCGCACATTTTGTTTCATATGGTTGATTGCAATCCCCACAACGTAACATCACTTATCCCACTTCCTCCCTGTGTTTCCCATCTCCATTCCTCCTTTCCTAACCGTTCTTGCATTCTGAACTTTGTTTGTCCTTGGGCAAATACTACCCTTTTGATCTAGAATGGTTCATTGTTGTAAGGCGTACCTACCTCCCTAGTGTTATCCTTCACCTTAAAGACCTATTGTTTGGCTGAAAACTGAGCCACGGGGGACCCCACCGCCAATTTACAATCTGTGAGGACTACCTATTGAGGAGAGGAGCCAGCTACTCTAGCTTTCTTCGAAGTTGAACCCTCGGCCCTCGTCCACCGACCCTGGGAAAGACTCTAATTCCCTTCCAGGTCCCTCAGACAATCTTGCGGAGCCTCTTCCGCCTCCGGTTCCCCACAAGACCTCCCTCGGAGGACCACGCTATTGCTCGCGTTGCTGCAAAAACAAGAAAACTGGGCTAGGAGGGCTACGGTGGGTCTTCCGCCCAGGATGACTAATTTCCGGTCACCTACTCCCACCCCCGGAAGTGGGACCGCATGTAAACACCGGAGCTGAGGCCAGCGTCAGGGAGGTCAGTAAGCCGGGCCGCGGGCGGCACCGAGAGCTGAGACTGGGTCAGAGACGCACGGAGGCCAGGTTAGTGCAGGCGGTGGGGAGCTGGAGCACATTCCCAGGATTGATTGGAGTCTGGGGGAAGATGGGGCTTTGAGCAGGGGTCTGGATGGATGGGGGCAGTCTAGGACAGGGATCTTGCGCGGGTGCTGGCACTGGAAGGAGTAGGAGGGCACATTTGGGCAAGGGTCTATCGAGAAGGGGTGAGGAATCCTGAGTAAGGTTCTTGGGTAGTGGGGGCTTTTGGAATGTGTTTTTTGTGAGGTGGAAATGGAGTCTAAGAAAGGGATCTTTGAAGGTGAACTATCCACAGTTATTAGGGAATGAGCTAGTCTAGAAGTGTGTAATGGGTGATAGGGAAGAGGTTAAGGGGTTTCGGCTAATGGAGGATGGGGGGCGCTGGTGCGCCTGTACAGAGGTCTTGGGGAGATGGAAATTTCAAGGGGGGATTGGGGCTTTTGGAGAGAAATATTAAGGAGTAGGGAGGTCTGGCAGGCGTCTTGGGAGTGGAGGTGCCCCAGGTATGGGTTTTGTTGGATGGGGGCAAGACTTGGAAAGGGTCTTGAGGGGTTACAGGAGACTTGGGAGGGTCTTGGGGAGAAGGTAGGGGGTCTGGAGGAGGAATCTTAGCAGATTGAATTCCTGGAGCTGGTTCCAGGCCTGCCCCATGTTGGAGTAAAGAAAAGCAGAGCACAAGGCATGCCACAGAGGTGGGGAATTTGGCCTGATAAGGGAATTCTGAAGTAAGGTCTTTGATCCATAAAAGAATGTGAGGGAATGTCCAGATTGGCTCTGGTTGAGCAAAGGGTAGCATGGCATGAAAAGCAGTCATCCAGAGGGAGACCTAGTACCCTGAAGGGGTTTGGGGAAGACTATGGGTGGTAGTGTGCTAGAGCTCTAGGGTGGTGGATAGGTTTGGGGCAGATTCAAATGGACATGAGGAGGGGGTCCTTGTGAGTGATGGGCCAACCATAGTAGATCTTACAGGCTAGTCAAAGAGGTGCAGGAAGAGGTGAATTTCCAGCCCCCTTTCCCCTATTGAAGGAACTCTGGTGGTGTGGTGGTTAAAGCATTTGACTGCTAACCTTTTGGTGAGTGGTTCAAACCTACCAGCCGCTCCGTGGGAGAAAGACGAGGCAGTCTGCTTCCATAAAAATTTACAGCCTTGGAAACCCTATGGGGTACTTCTACTCTGTTCTAAAGGGTTGCTATGAGTAGGAATCAACTCGATGGCTATGGGTGTTTTTGTTTGTTTGTTTCCCCTATTGACAGGTAGAGTTGGGTGCTGGGTCTAGTTGTAAGAATAAGAAGCAGGGGGTGGGTGGTGGTTCCAAGCAGTGTTGGGCATTGGTGCCAGATAGGGTGGGGAGAAGATATGACTATCACATTACTTCATATCCCATTACTTCTGACAAAGTGCCAGTGGAGGGATCAGAATGTAAAGAAGAGGCTGGGGTCCAGGTCAGATTAGATCTGAGAAGATGAGGTGTGTGTGGGGGTACCTGGTCATGCTGTTAGGGGTCTTGGGAACTTAAAGCACAGACACCAGTACTCCCACCCTGTTTTTGTCTTCTTTGCAGTCCCGCGGGGGTCAATAGATAGCAGAGTGGGAGGAAGAAAAGGAAATAAGTTAGGGACAGGGTTCTGGGACTTGAAGGGGAGACCCAAGACTCTTCCCAACCCCATCCCACCCCATTTGTGTCCAAGGGAACAATCTTGGACCATGACTCAGCAGCCACTTCGAGGAGTGACCAGTCTTCATTTCAACCAAGACCAGAGTGAGAGAGGATTATGCCTGTACCCTTGTGGGAGGGAGGGTAGGAAGGAGGGAAAGGCCACCAGCTTCCCCCACGCATCCTTTGAGGTAATCCGGACTCCTCCCATCCCCTAGGCTGTTTTTGCTGTGCCATGGAGACTGGTGTGCGCATCTACAATGTTGAACCATTAATGGAGAAGGGACATCTGGGTGAGCCATTGGAGGGGATAAGCAATGGGTTAGAAGGGATTGGGTTTATAATGTAGACTAAGGATAGATTCAGTTGAGGCTAATCTTGCACAGATAACAGTGATACAAAATACCCACAATCCTTAAAAAAACAACAGAAGACAGACATAGAGCAATCCCTCACAGACAGCCAGACGCTGTGGGAGAGAGATGCAACGGATCTACCAACTCAGGACCATAGTATTGGGGGGGCACCAGACTCAATTGGCACAATAAAATACATAAAAATCTTGTTCCACAATCTACATTGGTGAGTAGCTACTGGGGTCTTAAAAGTTTTCAAGCGGCCATCTAAGATGCAGCTAATGGTCTCCTATCTTCAGAAGCGAAGAAGAGTGCAAAAAATCAAGGGCATTTGGAAGCAATCAGCCCTAGGACACAATGGACCTCAAGATTAGAAGAACCCGATGGTGCCCGGCTACGAATGCCAACCACTCAGGAAAGGATCAAAACTGGAGATCTTGGATAGAGGGGGAGGAAAAACGTGGAACAAAGTCCAAAAACACAGTAACCACCCCCCCAAAAAAAACCTCATTGCTGTCAAGTTGGATTTGACTCATAGCGACCCCTCCTTGGTTTTCCGAGGTGGTATCTCTACGGAAGTAGATTGCCCAGCCTTCCT